CCTGACTTTATTTCCTGTGGCCGCCCCATTGGCCAGTCACTGTCCACTGCCCACCATTGTGGGGCTGTACCAGCCTCATCTCCCTCTCTCCGGAGCATTTTCTTCCCCTGGTAGCCTATACCTGCTCACTCCTTTGACTTGCACCTGACACCTGTGACTTGGAGGAGCAGAGGTTTAACTGGCTCATGGTTTCAGTTCACTGTCAACTGGATCCACGGCAGAAACATCACGGCAGAAGGGCCTGGTGGAGCAAAACTGCTCGGCTCATGGTGGCCAGTAAGCAGAGCAGAGAGGCAGCACCAAAGAGGAAGGAGTGAGTGACCAGACAAATCCCCAAGGCTGTGATTCCCCAGACTCACCCACAAATGTGTTCCTCCAAACCCAAAGCCGATCAAGCAGATACTCCACCCTAAATGCCTCAGAGTGGAGGAGTTTGGCTAGACGTGGAGGTCCCCTGTAGACTGGCAATTTAAACATTTTCTCAGGCTCTAGAGCTGTCCTGCATGCGCTGTTGGGCTTCTGAATGTGCAGGTGGAAAATGGCTTGGAGTTGCAGAGGCTTGTAAGAGAAGCCATTGAACACGTGGACTTAACTGGATGCTGAAGAAGAGGAACTGCCCTTCCTGTGGCCAGTGGCTGTGAAAATGGACTGGGACAGCATTAAATAACAGCCCAGAAAGACCACACTGTGCGGTGAGCACTGTGGAGGAACATGGTCTGTCTGCAGTGTGAGCTGCTCCCACCCCAGGCCATATGCTAGGTGTCACGTAGCAGCCACTGAAATGGCAAACTGGAGGATTCCTCTGCTTCCCTGGGAGGAAATCAGGGTGCTGGGAGTTGGAATGAGGGACTGCAGGACACTCAGGAGGGGAGGCCTCTGTAGGCCCTGCGCCTTCCCCCTCCCCTGCCTCCTCTGCCAGCTGTTTTGTAGGTAGAACCGCCTGCCTCCTTAGTGCTGGTGACCCAGGGCTGATGACCTGGCACCTTCTCTGTGTTGTTATTATTTGAACATAATCACTGCGGGAAACATCTGCTGTTGAACACAGCCCTGTAGGCATCACCATGCCTGATTGGTTTCTATTAATTTCTGTCATAAATCACGGACTAAGTGGATACCAGAGTGGGAAGCCTGAGACAGGAGAGCCGTCTCCCTAGCGGAGAAGCTGTGGGAACTCGCTTGAGCCCCTCTGGCCGTGCCCCTCCTCCCTGCTCCTCTCCAATGTGCACTTTGTTCCTGGGAGATCCCATGCCAGGGACCCGGGTGCCTTCCTGGGTGATCCCCTTCCACCTGCCCCAGCCCTGAACCCCGGTGTCCTGGTCCCAGCCATGGTCCAGTGCACTAAGCCTCCGGCCGTGAGTGTCACACTCATTGTCTCCGCACGTCCTCCTGTCCCTGTGGGGAGGGGACACCCTGGGAAGGGCCAGGTGATTGCAATGGAGAATTCAGTGTCTTTTGAGAAACAGCTTCCTGTGTGCCATTGAGCCCTAACACCCACCCAAAGCTTGGCTCAGGTGGGCACAAGTGGGCAGTGATGATGCCTGTGGGTTGCTTTGTCACCTGCTGGCTTCTGCTGAAGGCACCAAGTTACAAAGCGAGGTGGCCCCGGAGCACCCGGTGCAGGAGAGAAGCATCGAATCCATGCAGGAGTTGCAGGGTACAGTCAGATCCATCACCTGGCGGCTGCGCCCCGCACCCCCTTCCATGCCCACCTGTAGGGACCCTGACAGATGTAAGAGGAGAGGACTCCAGGAGGGTCAGTGTGAGCCAGAGGGCGGCAGCTGCTGGGTGACAGCGTGCCCCAGACAGCCCAGGAAGATGGTGGGAGTGGGGATGTCTTCTTGTGGCAGAGCCACACTTGGGGGACAGAGGCACTGAGCTGGGGGAAGGAAGCAGATCCAGGGCTGGACCTTGGGACCTTCAGACCCATTGAGAGCCAGCAGGACAGGAAGCGGCAGAGAGACCAGCGGCCCTGGAGAGAATTCTCCTGGACTCCTCGGCCCAGGAGCACAGCTTGAGTGTCGTTCTTGGGGTCACTGGTGCTCCTACCAGTTCCTGAAAAATGAACCATGTCCTACTCGCAGAGCAATTTTTCCTGTCTGCCCCAGGCAGCTTGATAGGGCCCGGGGGGCTGGTGTGACACTTGGGGGTCATTAGCCCATGACTCTGTCCTGGGTTCACCCGGGAAGGAGCAGAGTAGCAGCATCTCTGCCCCCCAGGGGCAGCTGGCACCACACAAGGGCAGTGAAAGGCCAGTGATCAGCTGGGGAGAGGGAGGCAAACACAGGACCTGAGGCCCCTTGGCAGGGCATGAGCCAGGGAAGCCCAGGGGTGGGGACAGAGCCCCACATGGCCCTCATCTCTGCAGGTCACTCCTGCATGGCCAGTGCGTCCTGAGACGGAAGTGCTTCCATCTGATGGTTGCCTTGGGGGACATTTCCCCCTCCAGTTTCCCGTTTAAAATTGCAGTTTGGCAAGAGAAGAAAAAGAGATTTCTTTTTGCTGAATTCCAGTCCCACCAAGCCCTCTGGCTCACAAGGCTGCAGGCCATGGGTACTGTCGCTCAGCCTCAGCACCAGCCAGGAGCCTTCTCCGGAACGAGCCGTTTAGCGGCAAGTACGATACCATCCAAGGGTTTTTCTGTGACTGCAGCATCTGTCAGCGAACAACCAGAATAATGATAATGAGATTTTATTCCGTGGGTCCCGGGGTCAGCTGTGACTGTGAAAATGTGCCCAGCTCTGACCAGGGGCTCCAGACGGCAGCCTCAAGCTCTACAGGATGCGTCCAGACCATGCTACTGATTCTGCTGTGTGACGCTGGACAGGTGCTGCTTCTCTTGGAACTGTGTTCCATAGCCTGCAGAGACTGGAGGTGATCAGGCCTGCAGACCCGTGACTCATCAGCTAGAGCAACCTTTAATCCATGCATGTTAAGTTTTATTTCATGTTTCCCCTGGAGCAGGTTTGTAGGACCCAGCTGTGCCTTTCTCCTGGGGAGTCGGTATCTAACAGACAACCTTGTAGGACAGGAAAAATATTTGCCAGCTATTCCTCAGACTGTTTTTCAGGGCATAGAAGGAACCTAAACAAAAATTAGACTTCCCAGAATAAAAAGTCCCAATGACACCTGAGCGACTGGAATGAGCAGACGTTTCTCAGCACAGTGCTAAGGAGTGAAGTGCTTCACGGCCCTTGAGACCCTGCCAGCACCTGCCCCAGGCCAGCCTGACCCCCGAGCATGCTGGGAAGCTCCTCGAGTTTTCCAATCAAATAAGCAGGCAGTGAGAGCTCAGTGCAGTTTTTTTTCTTTCTTGTACCAGGAATCAAACTCAGTCTGGTGCAGTTTTTAACGTCATGTTAATGCAGGTGAGCACAAAGATCTGAACGCTTACCATCCACTAGCGTTTGTTCTTGATGAGATCCTGGCGCATACCTCCTGCTCAGCTTCCTACGCAGCCTGGTGCCTTCTTTCTCTCCTTTCAGAAACTGTGGTTGAGGCCGGAGCCCTGCTTCGCTGGGAGTGTGTCTTTTCTCAGTTTGCCTTCTGTTTACTTTGTTGAGTTTCTCTGAACACATTTTACGTAGTTAGCTTTCTCGGTCTTCTCCCCTCAGTGCTTTTGGGTGTGAGTCAAATGAGGACATGCTCAGTGTTTCTATGTTATGGAGGAATTCACTTTTCTTTTCCAGTACTGAGGATCAAGCCCAGCGCTTTCAAATTGAGCTGTAGCTCCAGCTCTGCTAATTTTACTTTCTTTGAATTTTGAGACATGCACCAGCTAATCACTATGTCGCCCAGGCTGGCCTTGACCTTGTGATCCTCCTGCCTCAGCCTCCCTGCGTGACCGGGGCTGCAGGTGCCCCCCGCTGTGCCCAGCTCCATGCCCGGCTGTGGTGCCCTCTCTGCTGTTTCCTCCCTTCCTGACCTTCTGCTCTTTGTTCTGGAAGCATCCTATTTACCTGGACTTCATCCTGCAGTGTGGATCCAGGTTGATTTACTTTTCCTTATTTGTCTCGTTTTTCTGGAACTGGGTAGGGAAGGTCTCCAGGTTTTCTTCCGTGTGACCAGCTGCTCACAGTGGACTGCCAGCCGTGGCCCTTGCTGTCACCTCTGCCTTGCCCACCCTCTGGGTAATCCTGCTTGCTGACTCTGCCCAGCCAAACTTCACAAACCTGTCTCTTGATTTCTAGGAAAAGAGCTACCTTGTTCTGATGGAAACCCTGCTCCTCTTTAAATCCAGTTAGGAGCACAGGGCCTCTTTACCACGCTGCGCTTCTCCACCCAGGAGCTCCGTCATTTCCCACCTTCTTCAGGTCTGCCCCGCTGTTCCCAGGGCTGCCTGGGAGTTCACTTCATGTAACGGAGGACAACTTCCTGTGTTTCACTGAGATGCTCTGTTATCTATCGTGAATTAGTCTACTCTTGTATCATCAGACTCACTCCTAGTTATATACTGAGTTTTTGCTTTTTTTGTCACTTCACGCGCTATTTCCCCACACTTCCTCCATGGCTACAGCACTCCTGCATTGTGTGGAGGGAGTGTCTCTAGAACTAAAACCTCGTCCTCTGCACACACTGCCTTTTATTTGCTGTTTACCCTGGAGGCAGATGCAGTAATACCATCTCTTCCTTTCCAATGATTATTTCCCAATTTTCTTTTCACTCTGAGTAGCACCGACCTCCAGCACAGCCTCACATCAAACACGGAGGACAGAGGCAAGTGGCTCGGATTTCCCTGGTGTGGGTGCTGGCCTTTGCAGGCAGACGTGGGGAGTCAGAGGGGTGTGGCTAGAGGTGGCTGTGGACCATACAGATGGACACAGATGAGGATGGAGCCGTGGGTGTAGATATAGAGGTAGGTGTAAGTGTGGGGGTAGATACAGGTGATGTAGATTTACGCACAGATCTATGCACTGATCCATACATCTGTAGGGACAAAAGCATGTAAAATTTTGTCAAATGCAGTGAGTCTGTGGTGATGACCGCCCAGCTTTTCTCCCCAGCTCTTTTAGGATGGTAATTCCCTCCAGTGCATTTTCTGATGCTGGACGGCTTCTGGATTTCTGGAATAGGTCTCAGCTGGCCAAGTCTGACTCCCCGCAGCCTGGTCTTCCACTCAGGACCTCCAACAGCATCCTCTGAGCCAGAGCCACTACAGTGAGAGCTGCCCACCGGATGTCTTCAGGTAAGCCCCTCTGCACTCCTGCTCCTGGAACTGGGCTCTACCCCCGGCAGAGGCAGCAGGGTCTTCCCTGGCTCCCAGCCCTCATGCTCTTTAACCTTGCCTCAGCGTCATGGGCTCCTAAGGCTGCACTACAAACACCGCCTCACCGGGGCCTGGGATTGCAACCTGGGGCTTGGGGACACAAACATTTCACCTGCAGCCAAGGGCAACAACCAAATCGGATCACCAGCTGGGTGACTTCTGGGTTGGCAGGGGAAGCTCAGGGGTCCCTGGTGTTTGCTGGGACCTCTGGTTTTCTGTGGGTGAGGGCTCGGTGTGCTGGGTGCCTGGCAGCCAGGTGCCTTTCTGCCATCAGGGAAAGATGTAAGCGAAACTTCTTTCTCACACCTTCATGCACAAACCACTCTGTTTCTCTGTCTCTGTGTCTCTATGTGTCTGTCTCTGTCGCTGTCTCTGTCTCTGTCTCTCTCTCCAGTACTAGTGACTGAACCTGGGGCCTTCAAATTCAGCTACATGCCCAGCCCTTTTTTATTTTAGTTTTTTGAGACAGAGTCTCTCTAAGTTGCTAAGCTTCCCAGGCTGGGTTCAAACTTGCCATTCTCCTGCCTCAGCCTCCCAGAGTGCCGTGCGCACCACTGTGCTGGGTGTGAGCTATGTTTCTAGTCCTTCCTGTGGGTGCTTAGATGCTGCTGGCAGACTCCCACCTACTGGGCAGTTCTGGGTTTGCATCTCTGCCTTCCAGATTGAGTCCCTTTAATTGTGACACAGGAGTTGCCACTGGCTGAGATCCAGGAAGATGAGGGAGGACAGGAACTGGAGGTGTCTCCTGCCCTGGGGAAGGTGGTGACAGGAGGAGACCACGGGGCTGGGAGCAGGGACAGGGCTGAGAGAGACTTCAAATGCCAGTGCCGCCAAGGAGCAGGTAAAATAGGACAACAGTGAGTCACAGGTGGGGCTCTGGTACGGGTTGACCAGGGCTCCTGGCTGGGGAGGACCCGGCAGGAGGCGGGGCTGGGAAGGGAGGGGAGTGGGGCTGTGGGGGGAAAGGGTCTCTCCTGAGAGGGGACATCTGGGTGACAGAATCGAGATGGTGCTTATGGCCTCACTCAGCCATGGGACAATCCGGGGTTTACCAGCAGGCTGGAGTGGTAGCTCTGCTGGGACTTTCATGCAGGGATGGCGGGGAGGACCTGCTGCATGAGTCTGAAGCAAGCAGGAGACAGCATGACATCATGCTTGAACCCTGCTACCAGGGTGTGACACACGCCTGTGTTATCGGGAGGTCAGTCAGACAGTGTGTCATGGACAAAGCACAATCACACCCCACCAGACCCCAGTGTCCCTCCATGAGGTTGTGGCAGTGCCGTGCTGAGCTCCTCCTTCTCCATCACCATGGTCACGGCCACGTTGAGGGCCAAGGAGGATGGAGAGGTGGACTCACAGTGCAGGGTGCCTCTGGCCACCCACAGCACTTCTGCAGACCCCCTCCAGGTTGCTCTCTGTGAGGCTGCAGAGTGCCTGGGGCCTCACCTTCCCTGGCCAAGTGGGCAAGTCAAGCAAGTAGACGGTGTGTCTGTGGGTTACCTGGGACCAAGTCCTGCACCCAACCCCAGGCAGGTTGCATCCTCCAGCACTTACGGGGACATTGGTGCCAGGGAATGAGGCTGTGGTGCTGTGGTTTAAGGACAAGGGACGGTGCAGTGTCATCTGTAATGCCCCTTCTGCAGCGCTTTGGTAAAGTGAGAGCTGGCTCTGCCTTCAGGTGTGCTAATCAGAGAAAGCCTTGAACCTTGCTGAGCTTGGAAAGCTCCCGTAAATGTCACCAACTTTGTCACCTCACCCCCAGCAAGACGGAAGACAAGTGGCTCAGGGTCTGGGAGGGAGGACAGTGAGGTCCGCAGGCCTGCAAGCCACAGTCAGCCACAGCCCAGCCATCAGGAATTCCCATTCCGCTGGCCTTGTTAGCTGCAGTCCACCGGGCAGCATCACAAGCCTGAACAAGGAGGCCCAGAGATTCATTATCACATGCTGGCCTGCAAGGTTTGGGAGCAAGTTCTGACTAGTTACAGTTTCACGTGAATAATGATCACACACTGTCTATTTTATTACAGAGCCTCTTTGAGATAAGTAGCAAGGCTCCCTCCTGCAGAAGGCGTGGTGGCAGGGACCTGCTGCTCCTCATCCCAGGAGGAGGCAGAGAACCTTATCTGTATCTCCTGTAATTGGAGGAGCCTCTCACATTTGGAGCATTGTAGGGGTGTTGCCAACTGCTCCTTGAGAAATGGCCTGTCTCATTTTTTGTATCACTGTTTGTTTATTTTGACACTGACCATCACTTAGAACATTGCAGGGTCCAAAACTTGGTCCTGCCAATCCCTCCAAAGTGTATGACCCCAGTCTGTCATGGAGTGGATCTCTGATGTAACTCAACTTTTGTCAGGTAAAGAAACCAAGATGGCGGCACTGCAAGGGCACAGGAGGGATTTAGCCAGAAACAAAGATGGTGGCCCAGTGACAGCACAGAAGAGACTCAGCCAGAAACCAAGACGGCAGCACCACAGGAGTGCAGGAGAGACTCAGCTGGGGAGGGGAGTTTGAATTCACTACCTGGAGTCATCCTGGGTTCTAAGAAAGGATGGGTATCTCTGAACTGGAAAACGATTGTTTATATTCACTTATGGGTGTGGGATTTGGCCCTGTGTGTGTTCACCAGGCAGGCTCAGCAGAGGAAGCTTTGCGTGTGGATTTTCCTGATGAACTTCTGCAGGCAGCAGCAGAGAAGGATGGCTCCTGACAGGACTGAAAGCAGCTCACCTGATCCCACAGCCTCGAATTAAGTTCTCCACACCCACGGTCGCCGACCCAGCTGCGAGGCTTTCTTCACTAAAAGGGTGCATCGCCCGGGTCCAGGCCCGAGCTCTGGACTGTGAGCAGATGTGTCCGTGGTGTTGGCTATCCTGCAGGCCTCTATCCCGAGCACACCAATGTCTGCAGAGACACAGGCAGGCAGGCAGGCAGGAAATAGCCTTGAGAGTGGCGCAAGACGACATGGCTGCTGCGCTGAGATCAATTTCACACTTCAGTGACATACACCGTGCTCTGTATTTTATAGGTTTAGGGATTTGGGGAAGCAGACACTCAGTTCAAAACATGTCCGTGCAGTTATCACGGGTTTCACAGCTTCATGACCAGGACCCAATGTTCTTTGGATCCCTAATACTACCTTATATTTAGGTCCAGTGACAGAGTATTCAGCTGTAAGACTTTAAACAAGCGGAGCTACTATTGCCTACAACAAGCAACATACAGCTTGTGGGTTGGCTCAGGAGTCCTTCCAGGTATCAGAGACCCATGTGGTTTCTGTCTTATTGCTGCATCCTCCTTCTCATGCTGATTGGTTCTTGTCCTTGTCCCCTCGTTATCATAAAATGACTGCCAGAGCTCTTAGCATTGCATCCTCACCCATTCACATCCAAAGGCACACTTGGGAGTGTTATGGGTCTTAGTCAGGCATGAGTTTGTTTCCCTGTATAACATGACATCAATAAGTTATCACTTCAAGATGGTGCACCCCTGCAGTAGATTTACCTATCTGTTGTGTCATCATTAGCCCATGACAATAGTCTAGCTCTATTTTATCAGAAAGAAGGGATGAGGAAGGGGCCAAAAATAAAAAAAACAAATGTCAAATGATTCCTGCATTTCTGTGATCTCACTTAGGACACACCCAGAGACCTCAGTCTGCTTGTCAATGCCTGGGACTGCAGAATGTGCCCAGCCATAGCTGCTGGGGGACTGTGGTGCATCTACATACTTCCTCCAAACTTTCACCTTATGAAAAACTAAGGTTTTGCTGTTCTGGAAGAATAAACAATAGTTATTGGCACAACAATCAGTTATGTCTGCCAGGATCCCCACTACACAGACAAGGATACCGAGATGTAGTGACAACTTAGCTATTTCCTAAGTTACATAGAAAGACTGGATCCTGAGGTTTTGTAGTCCTTGAAGATGAACTTCTCCCAGTTAATAGGCAGGATGTCAGGGCTGGTGACACTCCAGACACAAAAGGAATTTAGAAGAACTTTGGATGTCAGTAACCTTTCTGTTGCTATGACAAAATACGCTGGACAATCAATTTAGAAGGAGGAAAAATTTGTCTGGGTTCATGATTTCAGAGGTTTCAGTCCCTGGTAACTTGACTCTTTTGTCTTTGGGCCACCTCATGGTGGGAGACACATGGAGAGGAAAAATGCTCACCTCTTGGTAACCAGAAAGGAGAGAAGAGAGCAAGGGATATTTGTCCTACTGTCCCCCTTCAGGCCACACCCTCAATGACCTACTTTGTCTCAGGTAGGTCCCCCACCAAGGGTTCCACCACCTCCCAATAGCATCATCGTCTGGGGACCAAGTATCTTAGCCACTTTTCTTGTCACTGGGCCGTACTGCCCACCTGCTGCAGTTTAAAGGAAGAGAGGTTTATTTTGGCTCACAGTTCAGTCCATAGGCAGCAGGCTCTAAGGCGGGAAGCAAGGCAGAGGATCATGGAGGGAGACCATGACCTCACCACATGGGCAGGAAGCAGCAAGAGTGAGGGGAGGAGCTGGGAGGAGAGGTGGATCCTTGGAGGCCACGCCCCTGGTGATTCACCTCTTCCTACTGAATGTCACCTCTACCAGGAAGTCATCACTAAGCACCCTTGATCCAGTTTTCCTCTGGAGGCAGTGGGATTCTTGGGGAAACTACACATAAACCCCAATCCCAAGCCTACAACACACTGGACTTTGGGAACATTCTTGATCCAGACTATCATGGTTTGTTACTCCCAAGAGGGAGCCACAGCCATCAGGGCAGAACCCTGGGCATTGATTGGTCAGTGGTCCAGCGTGAGCTGCCCAATCAGGATCCCTATCACACCTCCTGAGTCTCTCATCTCCTGAGTCTAAGTTCTGGCCAAGAAGCCTGGGTGTCCCCTAGGCAGGATGACTCGGTCCTGAAGAGGGGACCTGCATTGTGTCCACCTCACAGCTGTGGTGACCCAGAGTTATGGTGGCAAAGCACTGAGCCCTGAGCAGAGCTGGGGCTTGGTTCTCGATGGCAGCTGGTGATCTCACTGAGTCTCTTAAAGGATAACTTGGAAAATAATTTTTTCTGTGATTTTCTGTTAATGTAGAGCTCCACCAACCCCGGTGGTTCAGAATCTCCAACCTGAAAGTCATTACAGTTGAGAACCAGCAAGATGACCACTCGTGAAGAAAATATTTGGTGAGCCAAGGAAAACTGTCCAGGTCAGTCTGATAAACACCATCAATGCCCTTTTCCGGTTTCACCCTCATGTGGATGGTGCCACACCAAGGACTCTGGCTTGTACCTCTTCAGGCTGCTCTGACAACCCCTAGGCTGGGCGGTTGCTGGCCACAATAATGACCATTCCCAGTCTGGCATCTGAAAATCCAAGGGACAAAGCCCCTGTGGATTTGCTGTCAGGTGAGGCCATCTGCTGGCCTTCAAGGTCGCCTTCCGCTGTGTCCTCACCTGTGGGAGGGGCTGGGCAAGCTCCCTGGGCTCTTTCTTATAGGGCACCAACCCCAAGCCTAGGGGTTCCCCCCTTTAGATCTAGACCTCCCCTGCAAGGCTACCTCCTAATACCATCATTTTAGGGGTTAGGATTTTAACACTTTAGTTTTGGGAGGAAAACAAATATTCAGACCACAGCAGCCTCCAAAGACCAAGAAAGTTTCCACCATCTTTGAAGGACAGATGGGCTTCTGTGTGGAGACAGAGAGTGGGGGAGGGTGGGCACAGCCTTTGGGATTCTGTGCAGACAGGGTCTGGAGCCTCCACCACCGCCCTGCTCCTCTCCCGATCCTTGTTTCCTCTCATCCATAAGGGCTGTGCTATGAGGGTGTGATACCTGATATACAGCAGCTATCTTGTGACACAAGATATAAGTCTGCCCAGAAAAGCCAGTTTTGTTTGAATCACCCCCAGCCCTGAATGACTTTTAGAAGTCGTCTTATCTCATCCTGTTTCAACTTCTGACGAGTTAACATTTTCCCTTAGCTCGACTTATTGCTGTGCTTTAACAAACATCTGAAGATGAATCACACGCCACCAACACGGATGTATTAGCTCAGGGCCTTCTCTGCCATTATACTTTCAAATTCCAGGACAGGAAATTGATGCGGTTTGAATCAGGACTGCACACTTCACCTCGTTTTCAGAAACAATAGCAGCTGTGACAGCGCCAGGGTGGGAAACGCCAGTATGGCATCTGCAGATGATCCGCCGGCCCCCATCTGTATAAATCTGCACCAATGTGGTGCCGTGTGGGGACGTATTTGCAGTGGCAGGGTGGCCTCAGAGGGACATGAGCTGGGTTTTCTTACAGAATCAGCGCGGCGTCTTTCTTTGAAATAAGCTGACGTGAGCTGGAGTTTCTGTTGATTGCACCTTAAGTTAACGAAGACACATTGCTCAGTTTTCCCCAGTAGGCACTTAGCTGTCTTGATGGTTTCAAATGGCCCCAGAGCTTCTCTTTCAGGGCTCAGAGTCTCTGAATTCTCAGTCTTTCGTGCAATAGCCTTGCGATTTTTCTCAGTGTATTTGCTGAATCATTTACATTGTTAGTTGTTCAGTTCTTTTCTTTTAAAGTATCTTGCTTAAATGTACATGTCTGACCTGGAAACCGTGGGTGCAGGGGCCATGGAAATCCACTGTCACCTGCTGTAAGTGGAGAGAATTATGCAAACAGACTCAATGGAATCTTACTCCAGGGACGACCCCAGGTCCGCTTCCCCTTCCTTAGAGAGGGAGACTGAGTGGCTTAGGTGGTGGCACAGGAGTTAAAGGTGCTGGTAGAAAACCTCACCAGGAAGTATTAGAACATCCTCAGGTGTGTGCTGTTCTGGTTGCTGCTAACTTAGTTCTCATAGTTAGCATTGGAAACACTCTGACTCTGCCCCTGGAATTCTGTCTCTGCCACCCTGTGTATGTGACTTTTGTGTCTGACATTGGATTTTGGTCCAATAGCCACCTCTAGTTTTGCTCAGGACTTGGTGGCAGCATTTTTCTCACCCTTAGGTGGGAGTGTTGATCATGATTGATTTGAATCAATTATTATGCTTCTAGTCCTCTCTTCCTGTAATTGGTGTTTGAACATGTTGCTGACCAAGTGAGATGTACAAAGCAAACTCAGCATCTTCTGAGAAAAATAGAAGCAAAGTAGCAGGAAGCTGACCCTTATCCTTTCCCCTGTCATCCAACTTTTAAGGACTGTACTATGAGGATGTGATGTCTCCATGTGTGGCACCTATCTTGTGACCATGAGGTGTAAGTCTGGAGAGAAAAGCCATCTGCTGAGTGAGGAGGAGCAGAGGGATAGACAAATTAGGAGCTCTGATAACGTTGCTGCATTATTAAACAATTCTGCATGAACTTCAGTGCATCATAAATAACACCCTTTTAAGACATTATTGAGGAGCTCTCTGTTGCTAATGACTGAATATGTCCCTTGTATTTACCCTTTACCCTTTCACTCCTGTTTAGGCCACAGCTATCCTCCACCTCTAGCTTTCCCTCACCCAATCCCAGCCAGCCCGTGCCTGTCCTGTCCTTGACATCTGGGCTTCTCCAGAGCCTCCTTACTCCCAGTCCCCAGACCCTGGGGACTGGGGTGAACTTTTAGGGGGTAACCATCTGGGAGGTGGTTGGAATGGATGAAAGAATTAAAACCTACGTTAGGACCCAAGAGAGCAGAAGATGATCATAAAAGACTTTCCCCTCTACTTCTGCTTCTTGTATTTATCTGCCAGTGGTTTAATGATCAGCTGATCAGCGCCTTGCTATTGGTGGGGGGTACCAGTGGCCCCTCCCTGCCTAAAGGTGTTGTTTTCTTCTTCTGGGTTAGGAGATGTGCAGGCTTTTCCTTTGTACCCTTTAAATGCAAAGTGCCGATTCTGCTGAATGGGGTCTTGGCGTCTGTGAGACCCTGGAGGGAAGAAAGTGGACCCCTCGGTCTTCTCTATCCCTGTCCGTCAGCTATGCCCCTGCCCCTTCCCAGGAGGTTGGACTCCAGTCGTCCCAAGGTAGCCAAGAAGGCTCTGGAGCAGGCAGTCATGGGTCAGCAGTGACCAGAAGGAAAGTGTGGCCTCCTGGCAGACTTTCCTGGGTGTCACGGCCTACTGTGAATTAGCATGGAACCCCGAAATCTGAATGTGATCCGTCTCCCCAAGGCCACACAGGAGGGTGGTCTCCAGCCTGGAGTCTTGGTCTGACCTTGGTGCTGGAGGTGGGCTTTGATGGTAATTTAAGCATGAAAAAAATGATCAGGCAGTCACACAGTGAAAGCACAAACTGCTCTTTGATGGCCTAACAGAGCTGAGCTGCCGTCTCCTGTCTTGTACACACACACACACACACACACACACACACACACACACACATCTATGTGACCTGTGCATATGTGACCTTTCCCTTCGTTCTTTCCACTTTTCCTCCATCCCAGCTGTTCTTTCCTTTTGAACATTTTGGTTCACTTTCACTTTCACAATATCTATTGTACATTTTGGACCTTATTAATCTTTCATTTTTTTGCACTGGGGAACAATATGATGTTTACATATGCAAGTTTTGTTCCACTCAGGAGTACGGTCTCAAGTTGCATCCATTTACCTACAAAAGCCTCAACTTTTTCCTTCTTTATAGCTGAGTAATACTCCACTGTATGAACAAACCAATTTTTTTTGTCCATTCCGTGGTTGTTGCTCCAAGATGCAGTTCTTACAAATGTGCTGCAGCAGACCTGGGTGCACCCAGATCCCTGGGGCATGAGCATCTTTCAGCCCTTTGTGAAGAGCCTGCCTCGGGTATTTCCGGAGTGTTGTTTTGTGGACACACACACTGGGCTCAGGTGCTCCTGTTCAGTCACCTGCTTGCCGTGGAGGTTTGTATTTGAATGACAATGAGCAAGGTTCTCACCCCACACTGGGACTTTGCAATACGTTTCTCATCTTAAAAGATTTATGACGCACAGAATTGGGGAGAAAAACAACAGTGAGGAACAAATCCGGAGTAAAAGTCATGCAGGCCGGGTGCACAGGGCACATGCCAGGGTGCTGGAAGCTGGAAGCTGAGTGATGGAAGCTGGCTCTGTCCTCTGGGCCTGCAGGCTCTGCTCTGTGCTGAGGTCCCGGGGCAGCACCAGGAGACGCCCTTTATTCCGTGTCCTGGATATGCAGTGAGATTTAACCCTCACCCCGGAAACTCACGGGTCTGGAGTGAAGCGAGGGCCTGGACCTTCGCTCTCGGGATACAAAGCTTCGGATAGCGCGGCTGACCTCGGAGTGCGGACAGCAGCAGGGCCCCGATGCTGGGCTCTCGGGTTCCCTGCGCAGGTCCCAGACTTGTTTGTGAATTTTGATGGATGGCAGTGGAAGTGCTGCGTGTGGCTGGCTCTTGGGGGAGGAGATTTCTGCAGGCTCCAGCGCAGCTTAGAGCCACAGCGGGCCCCTCCCCAGGACCCCTCTGCCGGCTGCGCCCTGATTGGTCACTCTACACCCCGACTGGTCACTCAGAATATGCGATTTGAGATACGTGCAGATACCTTGAGAGTCACAAAATCACACACAGGGTGCCTGTGGCCCCTTGACTCTGGTTCCCCTTGAGTTAGAATCTCATGGAAAGCAGGAAGGCAGTGTCCTCGCTCGCAGCTTGCAGAGTTCATTCGGATGTCCCCAGCCGTCCACAGGTCTGGAAAGGCCCTTGTACACCTGTGTGTGTACCCTTGTGTGTGCATGCACTTGTGCACGTGGCTGACTGTGTGCATGTGGGTGCGACCTGCCTCAGAGCTGCGTTCAGCTTTGTGGGACCAGCACAGTCAAGGGACATAACTGTATCTGCCATCGAGGTCCCCTGAGAGACTCGGCCCTGCAGGCCGGTTGCTCCAGTAAACACAGACTTGGCTGGAGAGGGGGAGAAGGAACCCACAGGAACAGGCCATGAGCTTAAAGGCACATTCTCTGTGCCTTCAGCATCAGGAAGCGACACTGGGGCGAGTGCATTAAGGAACAGTAGGTGAGCAGGGAACTGCTCCCACGACCCACCTCGTCCCCATGAAGCCGGCCTCCTCCCACCATCAGAGGAAGCCGCTGGGGGCAGCCCGTGTCCCCCACTAAACTCCACCAGGCTTCTCCAGGGGAAACTGTCAGTGCTCTTCTCTGCCCGAAGTCTATCCCTCGGGATGTGTCTGTGAGCGTGAAGCAGGAAAATGAAATTACAGCTGTGTGAA